GAGCGAATCCCCTCCCACACACAGAGCAACAGTGAGGCTTCTCTCCTGTGTGTGTTTTCTTCTGTAACCTTAGTGTATATGGGCTTGGCAGTTCTTTTCCACACGTTGAACAGTGGTGAGATTTCTTTGCTTTCTCCTGGTGTTGTGCGGGTGCTCTTATTGTAGAGAGATTCTCCTCAACAGGGTACAAACCAAGAGGCTCTTCTGCAGGAAAGAAACCTTGTGCACTCGCACACTCCCCCCTAATGTATTTAAAGGAATGGATTGGTGTAAGTAATATGTTGGAAACTCCCTCCAGCCATGCTTTAAATGCACGAGGGGGGGCGTGAAAGAGGGTAGAGAATGGTAACGCTGCCAGTGTGTTTCTTTGATGTGAAGTGTTACATGATGCAACGTCGCTAATGGTGAGCTGTGATAAACTAAGTCTGATAAACTTTCAGTCACTCAAACCACTTACTTCCACCTGGGTTGGGGTCAATTGGAATTTAAGTCAATCAATTCAGGAAGTAAACTGACATTCCAAAATAAATAAAAAGACAAGGCATCTATTTCCAATGACTTCTCAATAAGCTGAAAAGTATCATATATATTTTTTTCAGTTTTTCAATTTTACATTCAAATCACTTCCTGAATTGACTGCCTTCAATTCAAATTGACCCCAACCCTGACTTACAGTCTAGCAGTCATGGTTTCCGTCACAAGTTCTTACACCCAGAATAACATGTAGAATCTCACCTAATCTAATTTAATAGGATCTCAAATCAAATCACATTTTATTTTTCACATGTGCCGAATACAACAGTGTAGACCTTACAGTGAAATGCTTACTTACAAGCCCTTAACCAACAATGCAGTTTTAAGAAAGAATACCCCAAAAATTCACAAAAAAATACAATATAAAATAATATGAAATAAAAGTAACAAATAATTAAAGAGCAGCAGTAAAATAACAGTAGGGAGGCTATATACAGGGGGCACCGGTTAGTCGAGGTAATTGAGGTAATATGTACAGTGGGGGAAAAAAGTATTTAGTCAGCCACCAATTGTGCAAGTTCTCCCACTTAAAAAGATGAGAGAGGCCTGTAATTTTCATCATAGGTACACGTCAACTATGACGGACAAAATGAGAAAAGAAAATCCAGAAAATCACATTGTAGGATTTTTAATGAATTTATTTGCAAATTATGGTGAAAAATAAGTATTTGGTCAATAACAAAAGTTTCTCAATACTTTGTTATATACCCTTTGTTGGCAATGACACAGGTCAAACGTTTTCTGTAAGTCTTCACAAGGTTTTCACACACTGTTGCTGGTATTTTGGCCCATTCCTCCATGCAGATCTCCTCTAGAGCAGTGATGTTTTGGGGCTGTCGCTGGGCAACACGGACTTTCAATTCCCTCCAAAGATTTTCTATGGGGTTGAGATCTGGAGACTGGCTAGGCCACTCCAGGACCTTGAAATGCTTCTTACGAAGCCACTCCTTCATTGCCCGGGCGGTGTGTTTGGGATCATTGTCATGCTGAAAGACCCAGCCACGTTTCATCTTCAATGCCCTTGCTGATGGAAGGAGGTTTTCACTCAAAATCTCACGATACATGGCCCCATTCATTCTTTCCTTTACACGGATCAGTCGTCCTGGTCCCTTTGCAGAAAAACAGCCCCAAAGCATGATGTTTCCACCCCCATGCTTCACAGTAGGTATGGTGTTCTTTGGATGCAACTCAGCATTCTTTGTCCTCCAAACACGACGAGTTGAGTTTTTACCAAAAAGTTATATTTTGGTTTCATCTGACCATATGACATTCTCCAAATGCACTCTAGCAAACTTCAGACGGGCCTGGACATGTACTGGCTTAAGCAGGGGGACACGTCTGGCACTGCAGGATTTGAGTCCCTGGCGGTGTAGTGTGTTACTGATGGTAGGCTTTGTAACTTTGGTCCCAGCTCTCTGCAGGTCATTCACTAGGTCCCCCCGTGTGGTTCTGGGATTTTTGCTCACCGTTCTTGTGATCATTTTGACCCCACGGGTGAGATCTTGCGTGGAGCCCCAGATCGAGGGAGATTATTTAGTGGTCTTGTATGTCTTCCATTTCCTAATAATTGCTCCCACAGTTGATTTCTTCAAACCAAGCTGCTTACCTGTTGCAGATTCAGTCTTCCCAGCCTGGTGCAGGTCTACAATTTTGTTTCTGGTGTCCTTTGACAGCTCTTTGGTCTTGGCCATAGTGGAGTTTGGAGTGTGACTGTTTGAGGTTGTGGACAGGTGTCTTTTATACTGATAACAAGTTCAAACAGGTGCCATTAATACAGGTAACGAGTGGAGGACAGAGGAGCCTCTTAAAGAAGAAGTTACAGGTCTGTGAGAGCCAGAAATCTTGCTTGTTTGTAGGTGACCAAATAATTATTTTCCACCATAATTTGCAAATAAATTCATAAAAAATCCTACAATGTGATTTTCTGGAAAAAAAAATTCTCAGTTTGTCTGTCATAGTTGACGTGTACCTATGATGAAAATTACAGGCCTCTCTCATCTTTTTAAGTGGGAGAACTTGCACAATTTGTGGCTGACTAAATACTTTTTTTCCCCACTGTAGATGTATGTAGAGTTATTAAAGTGACTATGCATAGATAATAAACGTAATGGAGGGGGGGGGGGGGCAATGCAAATAGTCTGGGTAGCCATTTGATTACATGTTCAGGAGTCTTATGGCTTGGGGGTAGAAGCTCTTTAGAAGCCTCTTGGACCTAGACTTGGCGCTCCGGTACCGCTTGCCGTGCTGTAGCAGAGAGAACAGTCTATGACTAGGGTGGCTGGAGTCTTTGACCATTTTTAGGGCCTTCCTCTGACACCGCCTGGTATAGAGGTCCTGGATGCCAGGAAGCTTGGCCCCAGTGATGTACTGGGCCGTACGCAGTACCCTCTGTAGTGCCTTGCGGTCGGAGGCAGAGCAGGGACTATGTTGGTATTACAGACTCAGACAGGGAGAGGTTGAAAATATCAGTGAAGTCACTTGCCAGTTGGTCAGCACATGCTCGGAGTACACGTCCTGGTAATCCGTCTGGCCCTGCAGCCTTGTGTTGACCTGTTTAAAGGTCTTACTCACATCGGCTACGGAGAGCGTGATCACACAGTCGTCCGGAACAGCTGATGCTCTCATGCATGTTTCAGTGTTACTTGCCTCGAAGCGAGCATAGAAGTAATTTAGCTCGTCTGGTAGACTCGTGTCACTGGGCATCTCACGGATGTGCTTCCCTTTGTAGTCTGTAATAGTTTGCAAGCCCTGCCACATCCGACGAGCGTTGGAGCTGGTGTAGTACGATTCGATATTAGTCCTGTATTGATGCTTTGCATGATTGATGGTTCGTCGGAGGGCATAGCGGGATTTCTTATAAGCTTCCAGGTTAGAGTCCCGCTCCTTGAAAGCGGCAGCTCTACCCTTTAGCTCAGTGCGGATGTTGCCTGTAATCCATGGCTTCTGGTTGGGGTATGTACGTACCAGTCACTGTGGGGATGATGTCATCGATGCACTTATTGATGAAGCCAGTGACTGAAGGTGTACTCCTTAATGCCAACGGAAGAATCCTGGAACATATCCCAGTCTGTGCTAGCAAAACAGTCCTGTAGCTTAGCATCTGCTTCATCTGGCCACTTTTTTATTGACCGAGTCACTGGTGCTTCCTGCTTTAGTTTTTGCTTGTAAGCATGAATCAGGAGGATATAATTATGGTCAGATTTACCAAATGGAGGGCGAGGGAGAGCTTTGTACGCATCTCTGTGTGTGGAGTAAAGGTGGTCTAGAGTTTTTTTCCCGCTGGTTGCACATTTAACATGCTGGTAGAAATGAGGTAAAACAGATTTAAGTTTCCCTGCATTAAAGTCCCCGGCAACTAGGAGCGCCGCCTCTGGATGTGAGAGCTAGCCAGGCAGTTTTACAGGAATTATTTCATAAATAGTTTAAATTAACTAGACAAGTTGTAAATGCAACAAGTACTAATATTGTATGATATAATAGCAGTCACAGCTTTCCAATAAAAATAATCTGAGACATTTATGGTCTGTTTACATATATTTTAGAGGCTATTTATACGGAACATTTGTATAAAACCCGTATAATAGGTATTTATAATTATATGACAATATTTTAGGTTGACTAATTTATTAAACCATTTCTGATACATTACATGCTTTACTTTTCTTTTCCTGCATCAGTAAAACAGGAAATGCATCACCTCTGCCTCTACTGCCATTCATTCCAATTAGACTGGTTTGGATTTCTCCCTGACCAAGATGGCTGCCATTTTGGCACCACTATGGAACTTTGAGGGTTTTTGGCATTTCCCCTCTAGTAATTTAATAGGATCTCTATGGTGCCAACTAGTTAACTACCTAGCTGACGTTAGCTCACCTCATGCATTGTAAATTAACTCCAAAATATCTTGAGAAGGACGCTGTGCTTGAGTTAATCCACCATTGCTGGCTTTGCTACGAGGACAAAATGTTGTTCTTTCCCTGTTGCGTTCAGCTCAAAGAAAGGTTATGTTAGCTAGTTGCAAGCTAATGTTAGCTTAGCTAGCTAGCTACTTTACTACTTCCATGTTTCCTTTAGGTCCTCTCCTGCCTGTACATTACTGCCACCGTCTGAGCTGGAGGGAAAGACAACAGGAGTCATAACCAGAGAAAAGCAGTTTCTCTCCAAATGCTCATTTATTAGTCATGACATGGTTATTATCAGTAAGGAACATTTCACCAGTGGGCTACAAGTCACTGTGGATTCATTGGCACCATCACAGCATCGAGGAAGTTAAATAATAATGAAAATAAACATTTACCAAAAAAAAGGACAAAAAATGCTTCCTTTTTGGTGATCAAAATATGTTGCTTGATGAGATGAGTGAGAGTTAGCATGATTATCTTACACTGATCAGAGATGGCGACAACACACACAGACACAGCTTCAGCAAGAAGAAGAACTCTACCTACTAAAAGACAAAGTCGTGGTTAATTGTCCCAGTACTGCCAGTCCTGCATCTCCATATCACTCTCCTCCTTGGGTACTTTCTTGGACATCTGAGCCCTGGCTAAGTGCTTTGGCCTGTCCATGGTGGCTGACTGCTTAGGTCTGCCTAACTGGCGGGTCGGTCCGATGGGCTTGGCGTCATGGGTCCGCTGGTGCTGATGGAGCCCTTGCTTACGGACGAAGCTCTTCCCGCATTCGGTGCACTCGTGGGGTTTTTCTCCTGTGTGTGTTCTGAGGTGGACTTTGAGGTCAAATTCCCTGGGGTAAGTCTTGCCACACACAGGGCAGATGAGACGCTTTTCTCCTGAATGAGATCTCATGTGGTTGTGTAATTCTGGGACGTCTGAGTATTCCTCGCCACATACTAGGCAGCTGTGAGATTTGATGGCTGTGTGGTTCTCCTGGTGTTGTTCAGGTTCTCCCGATGTAGAGGGACTCTCCTCACCAGCGGACCAGGAACTGGGATAATCTCCTGTGGGAAAGAAACAATGTGAGAGAACATCAAGTCAGTTTAGTTGAATGCCAATCTGTTGTGTGATTAGTAGCAAATTTGAGCTATTTCAGGCACCCTATTTCCTATTTGTTTTAATGCCATTTAAAGCCCTATTGCCTATTCGTTTTAATGCCATTTAAAGCCCTATTTCCTGTTTGTTTTAATGCCATTTAAAGCCCTATTTCCTGTTTGTTTTAATGCCATTTAGTTTTTTTCCTCTGTAGTCCACACACTATTTGTAGCTTGCAAACCAGGGTCCTAACACTTCCATTCATGTTTTACATGCAACATGCTAAATGTTAAGCTGTTAGGAGTGTAGGCGGTCGTCATCAATCATGATTAATCAATAATAATTATTAATCAATGATAATATAAAGGGTTCTCACCTGTGTGCACTTTCTGATGCGTTTTTAAATTTCCTTTCTGCGTGAAACTCATCCCACACACAGAGCACTGGTAAGGCCTCTCTCCTGTGTGTGTTCTCATGTGTCTCTCCAGGTAATATGTTTGAGGGAACTCCTTCCCACAGTCTGGGCATCTGTGAGTCGCCTTAGCTCTCCTCTGTCGGCGTTCAAGTTCTCTTGATGCAGAGGGACTCTTCTCCCCTTCAGAACAGTGAAGCCGCTGATGAATCTTCAGATAGCCTTTCTGAGTGAAGCTCTTTCCACAGACTGAGCAAGGATGCTTCTCTCCAGCGTGCGACTTCTCGTGTGTTGTCAGATTTCCTTTTTGAGTAAAACGCTTCTCGCACAGAGAGCAAGAGTAAGGCTTCTCTCCTGTGTGGGATCGCTGGTGGACTTTCAGTAATGCTTTATGAGTGAAGGTCTTCTTACACACACAGCAGGAGTATGGCTTGTCTCCAGTGTCTGTCTTCAAGTGAACCTCCAGAACTTTCTTTGAGGAGAACTCTTGTCCACAGCAGCAGCCAAGCTTGTCATCCGGGTCTGTTTTAATCTGTTCAGAATGTTTCTTCTGGTGGTGGTATCTCAAACTACATTGATGAGTGAAGCCCTTCCCACACTCAGAGCAGGTATAAGGCTTCTCTCCTGTGTGTGTTCGCTGGTGTGTTTTCAAAGCTTGTCTAATAGTGAATGTTTTCTCACACACAAGGCAAGTATAAGGCTTCTCTCCTGTGTGGGTTCTCATGTGTATTTGTAGTGCAGATAATGTTTGGCAGTGTCTCCCACAATCTGGGCATGGGTGGGTCTTTTTCTGCCTTGTTCTGCGTATCATCTGGTGTTGTTCAGGTTCTCCTGGTGTAGAGGGCTTCTCCTCGCCTGCAGGGTGATGGCTGGGACTCTCTCCTGTGGGGATGAGACAGGACAGATATAGTCAGTGGGGTCTAAGTTTTATTGTACATACCTACTGGGTTTCCCCATTATTTTACACCACCTCCCGTGCTGCTCCCATTCTCAGATTTATGGCAACACACAAGACTGAGCCCCAAATCATGCCACCCTATTCCTTATAAAGTGCACCACTTTTGATTAGAGCCCCATGGGCCCTGGTCAAAAGTAGTGCACTATATTTTTTTCGTAATTTTTTTAAACCTTTATTTAACTAGGCAAGTCTGTTAAGAACAAATTCTTATTTACAATGATGGCCTACACCGGCCAAACCCGGACGACGCTGGGCCAATTGTGCGCCACTCTATGGGACTCCCAATCACGGCTGGTTGTGATACAGCCTGGAATCGAACCAGGGGGTCTGTAGTGACGCCTCAAGCACTGAGATGCAGTGCCTTAGACCGCTGTGCCACTCGGGAGCCATAGGGAATAGGGAATAGGGTGCCATTTGGGAATCATCCCAAGTTAGCCTGGCTCCAGCTACCAACCTGTATTATCTAGTTCCCAGTCTTCTTCCTCTTTGACTATGATATTAAATGTTGGTGTTTCACTGTTGACGTCCAGACTCACAGTAACTCTCTCCTGACCCTGTGGTGTGTCTTTCTGATCACCACGGTTACTGTCCTCCTGGTGACCATGGTTACTGTCCTCCTGGGCACCGTGGTGGTTACTGTCCTCCTGGCCATCATGGTTCCTGTCAGGACCCGGGAAAACCGTGAGTTGGGGTTCAGTGGAGCAGGATGGAGACAGGCTGGACAGGTCTTCAGAGTCCTATGATGAAGAGTGATAGCGCAGTTTTAACAACAAACTAGCTACATTAGGAAAGATAGCCTCAGCAATATGACACCATCCGTAACATCAAGGCAATGTTTCTGCTTGTTATAGAAAATACAATTTCTCAGTAAAGAAACCGTACCTACTAAGTATACCTGGTTTAACAACTATCAATCAATGCAAACCAAATTACACCAGCTAATTTTCATTGGATTTTCATTCACCTAGCTAGCTAGTGCTGGTCAGTTAGCTAATGTTAGCTAACGTTAGCGACCTACTAGAAAACAAATCACGTCAGCAAGCAACAACAACATAGCTAGCTAGTAATGATGTTGCTTGCATTCATTGTACTCTACAAAATAATGAGCAACTTGATTTGCTAGCTAGCCACAACATTTGGTATAGCAACAAACGAGCAGTTTGCAGAGCAATAAAGAGATGTGGCTAGCACACGTTCTGAGTCTTACCACGTCCATTGTGAATCAATCCCTGAGCTAGCTAGCTAACTGTTAGCTAGAAAGCTAGTTAAATTTGAATTTAGAATGATGACTGCCAATGTTGTTGGTTGTACCCTTGCGTCTCGTTGGATGTAGCCGGCTGGGAAATACCAACAACTGAGAATATTTAATCAAAAAGTACTGTATTGTTTTTTATAAATATCTCTGCTAACGTTACAATGTTTTGAAGTTAAATATAATGGTAAATAAACTGTCAAACTCTCTTTGGCTTCTTACTTCCGGTTTAGGTTATCTTTTGAGTGTGCAATAGCGCCAACATGCGGTCTGGAAGTTAAAGGCAATAGATTACAGGTCTCTTGCAGTGGTGTAACGTACTTAAGTAAAAATACTTTAAAGTACTACATAAGTAGTTGTTGGGGGTATCTGTACTTTACTATTGATATTTTTGACTACTTTTACTTTTAGTCCGCTACATTCCTAAAGAAAATAACGTACTTTTTACTCCATACATTTTCCCTGACACCCAAAAGTACTCATTCCATTTCGAATGCTTAGCAGGACAGGAAAATGGTTCAAATCACCCACGTATCAAGAGAATATCCCTGGTCATCCCTACTGCCTCTGATCTGGGGGACTCACTAAACACAAATGCTTCTTTTGTAAATTATGTTTGAGTGTTGGAGTGTGCCTCTGACTATCCATACATTTAAAAAACAATGCCTTCTGGTTTGGAATGTGAAATGATTTATACTTTCACTTTTGATACTTGAGTATATTTTAGAGATTACATTTACTTTTGATACTTAAGTATATTTAAAACCAAATACTTTTAGACTTTTACTCAAGTAGTATTTTACTGGGTGACTTTCACTTTTACTTGAGCCATTTTCTATTAAGGTATCTTTACTTTTACTCAAGTATGACAATTGGGTACTTTTTCCACCACTGGTCTCTTGCAACCTACAGGTAACTGCCAAAATAAACGAAACTCTTGAGTAAATGAGGGAAACAAATTATGTTACGTGTAGGATGCATTTTTCCTGGCATGGTTTTGGGAAACTCTGCCTTAGAGCACCTGTCAAACTCATTCCGCCGAGGGCCAAGTGTCTGCGGGTTTTCGCTCCACCCGTGTACTTGATTGACGAATTATGGTCACTAATTAGTAAGGAACTCCCCTCACCTGGTTGTCTAGGTCTTAATTGAAAGGAAAAAACAAAAACCTGCAAACATTCGTCCCTCAGCGGAATTAGTTTGGCACCCCTGACTTAGAGGGCAATGTAAACATCAATAAATACAGCCATTCTGAGTGATCACCTTAAACCAGGGCTTTCCAACCCTGTTCCTGGAGAGCTACGGTCATGTAGGTTTTTGCTCCAACCTTAATATAGCGCACCTGATTCTAATAATGAGCTGGTTGATAAGCTGAATCAGGTTGTTACAACTGGGGTTGGAGCGAAAACCTACAGGAAGGTTGCTCTCCAGGAACAGGGTTGGAGGGCCCTGCCTGAAACCTATGGTGAATAATTGATATGCTGATGGCAGTGACCTCTTCGAGAATGACAATTCCCCCATCCACAAGGCACGAGTGGTCACTGAATGGTTTGATGAGCATGAAAACGATGTAAACCATATGCCATGGCCGTCTCAGTCATCAGATCTCAACCCAATTGAACACTAATGGGAGATTCTGGAGCGGCGCCAGAGCTAACGTTTTCCACCACCATCAACAAAACAACAAATGATGGAATGTATCATGGAAGAATGGTGTCGCATCCCTCCAATAGAGTTCCAGACACTTATAGAATCTATGCCAAGGCGCATTGAAGCTGTTTTAAAACACTTTATGTTGGTGTTTCTTTTATTTTAGCAGTTACATGAAGCTATCTGACCCCTTCTGAAATCAAATGTTTTACAGATCCTTTTCTGTGTTTGCAAACATTGCCGCACGAGGGCGATGTGCGAAAATTGGTGGAAGAATAAGGGGGAGTTATTTCAGAACGCCAGCAAAAAAAGACTATTTACATTTTAGCAGATGCTCTTATCCAGAGCGACATACAGTGCATACATTTTTTCATACTGCCCCCCCGTGGGAATCGAACCCACAACCCTGGCGTTGCAAACGCCATGCTCTACCAACTGAGCTACATCCCTGCCGGCCATTCCCTCCCCTACCCTGGACGAATTGTGCGCCGCCCCATGGGTCTCCCGGTCGCGGCCGGCTACGACAGAGCCTGGATTTGAACCAGGATCTCTAGTGGCACAGCTAGCACTGCGATGCAGTGCCTTAGACCACTGCGCCACTCAGGAGCTTTATGATTGCATTTCACACTACTTTTGGATTATAATTGGATTTTAAGGCTTGTATGAATGTCCTGCTTAATATAATGTTTGTGTCATCGCAAATCAACTGCATTGTACTTAAAAGACACTTCAACTTCAACCAGTAAAATGGCTCTTTGGCTAGCTTTTGCTACAGGCTATATCAATGAGCGTTAACATTCTAGATAACAACTGCTGCATCCACAATAGTTATTTTTGCAAAGATCACAACCAAATATAATCTTAGCGACTGTTCAAGCAAGAATCAAAACATAATTGTAAGCCTATAAGAACCCCCAAAAGTTATTTTGTTTAGAAGTAATAAAAACGTAAATTTAGGCTATGTTGAATGGGAGCAGACAGCGATGGCTTTTCTTACTGCCGCCAAGAGTCGCGCATCTGTGACGTGTGTGTGTCGTGTACTGGAAAAGGGTCTATAGATAAGGGTAATGAAGAGAGTGTAGTGTATTAGGATTATGCCTTTGTTAAATGTTTTTCATGAAGAAATGGAATGTTGTTTATCTTAGTTCAAATGTAGCAGTTGTAGGGTGACGCCCCAGGGGGGATAGGTGATTGGACGAAAGAGGGAGCCACCCATATTTTTGCCATTGTTTATAAGTATGAGCTAGACAAAGAGGCGGCAGAGGCATTCAGATTAATTTGGGACGGTGCCTCTCCAGACACCGCGGGTCTGTAACTTATGCTGTAACCTTGTGATATTAATAAAAGCTTCTAATCAAGGTGCAGCCTAAGCGGACTCTTTGTTTGACAGCAATAGCCACCAACAGCCGACGGGACACGACAAGAGAAAGCAGTTTTTCCCTTAATGTTCATTTATTGGAACATGGGATTATATGAAATGCAAGTCATTTCTTAGTATCACGATAGCTTCAATAAGTAAAATAAGATATTTCAAAAAACACAAGGACTAAAATGCAATAGCTTCATTTTGATTGATTAAAATAGGCACAGGATTACAACTAGTTAGTATGATTATCTTACACAACACAGTGGACTTTATTGTACTGTTCACAACACACACACACAAACACGTGCGTGCATACGGACACCCGCACACACAAATACACACACACACACACTAAGCCAGAAAGAAGAACGTATCTGTATAGTCATAAGAGGCATAGTGGATGTCCCAAATGGCACCCTATTCCCTATATAGTGCACTACATTTCAGCAGAGCCCTATGGGTCCCATATGGGCCCAGATCAAAAGTAGTGCACTATATAGGGAATAGGGTGCCATTTGGGATGAAGATATGGGCCTAGCCCCATGTTTAAAGGTGCCAGTACTGCCAGTGTTCTCTCTCCATGTCCGGAAAGGGCATCGGTCTCTCATATTTACATTGATATATGTATTTTTTGCTTAGCTCTTCCCACCCTGGGTAATTGGTTGGACCTTCCGCTACTAGAGCCCATACTGGGTGGTCTGCCTAACTGGCGGGTCGGTCCCATGGGCTTGGGAGCATGTGACCGCCGGTGTTGTTGGAGATTGTTTTTCCGGCCGTAGGTCTTCCCGCATTCACAGCACTTGTACAGTCTCTCTCCTGTGTGCATTCTGAGGTGGACACTGAGGTCGTTTTCCCGGGTGTAACTCTTGCCACATTCAGGGCAGAGGAAGTGTTTTTCTCCCCTGGGGGACATGGTGGATTTCTGTGGTGCCGGGAGGTTGTGGGTTCCCTCCCTCTGTGGTGCCGGGAGGTTGTGGGTTCCCTCCCTCTGTGGTGCCGGGAGGTTGTGGGTTCCCTCCCTCTGTGCTGCCGGGAGGTTGTGGGTTCCCTCCCTCTGTGGTGCCGGGAGGTTGTGGGTTCCCTCCCTCTGTGGTGCCGGGAGGTCGTGGGTTCCCTCCCTCTGTGGTGCCGGGAGGTTGTGGGTTCCCTCCCTCTGCAGTGCCAGGAGGTTGTGGGTCCCCTCCCTCTGCAGTGCCGGGAGGTCGTGGGTTCCCTCCCTCTGCGGTCCCGGGAGGTCGTGGGTTCCCTCCCTCTGCGGTGCCGGGAGGTCGTGGGTTCCCTCCCTCTGCAGTGCCGGGAGGTCGTGGGTTCCCTCCCTCTGTGGTGCCGGGAGGTCGTGGGTTCCCTCCCTCTGCAGTGCTGGGAGGTTGTGGGTTTGTGGTGCCGGAAGGTTGTGGGTTTGTGGTGCCAGAAGGTTGTGGGTTTTTGTTGCCGGTAGGTTGTGGGTTCCCTCCTTGCCAATCTGATTCAGGCATCGTTGTGGTTTCCCAACATTGTGTCTGTTGTCTGGAGGTTGTTTAGCTGCTTCTGAAGAAGTCGCCCTGATGTCCGGCAGCAGCAATCTGGGATCCCGGTCTGCAGACAGACAGATGGACAGAGAGAGAGACTGAGACAGACAGACTCGATGCAACAATGTTATTGTTAAGGTGTGGTTGAGTCTACTAAGACATGGTCTAGATGTTGTAAACAACATGGTTTTGATCACTGACAGTTTGCTAGTAGTCCATCATGATGTATCAATGGTAAAGGAGGACACTCACCTGTGTGCACTTTAAAATGCGTTTTGAGATTCCCTTTCTGGTTGAACCTCATCCCACACACAGAGCACTGGTAAGGTCTCTCTCCTGTGTGTGTTCTCATGTGTCTCTCCAGTTTGTTTGCTTGAGTGAATTCCTTCCCACAGTCCGGACACTTGTGAAACCTCTTTGCTCGCCGTCGTTCCTCTCCCCCAGAACAGTTGAATCGCTCGTGGGTCATCAGGAGTCCTTTACTGATGAAGCCCTTGCCACACTCAGAGCAGAGGAAAGGCTTCTCTCCTGTATGTGTTCGCTGGTGGACTTTTAATGTATACTTGTTAGAGCAGGTCCGTCCGCACACGGAGCACAGGGGCTTCTCCTCGGTGTGTGTTCGCTCGTGGGCTTTCCAAGCCGGTTTGTGATAGTAACCCTTGCCACAGAAAGAGCAAGAGTGAGGCTTCTCTCCTGTGTGAGATCGCTGGTGTTCTTTTAACGATTCTTTATTGAACCTCTTGCCACATACACAGCAGGTGTAAGGCTTGGCTCCAGTGTTTGTCTTCAAGTGAACCTCCAGAACACACTTTGAGGAGAACTCTTGTCCACAGCAGCAGCCAAACTTGTCATCTGGGTCTGTTTTAATCTGTTCAGAATTCCTCTTTTGGTGGTATCTCAAACTATCTTGATGAGCGAAGCCCTTCCCACACTCAGAGCAGGTATAAGGCTTCTCTCCTGTGTGTGTTCGCTGGTGTGTTTTCAAAGCTTGTCTAATAGTGAATGTTTTCTCACACACAAGGCAAGTGTAAGGCTTCTCTCCTGTGTGGGTTCTCATGTGTATTTGTAGTGCAGATAATGTTTGGCAGTGTCTCCCACAATCTGGGCATGGGTGGGTCTTTTTCTGCCTTGTTCTGCGTATCATCTGGTGTTGTTCAGGTTCTCCTGGTGTAGAGGGCTTCTCCTCGCCTGCAGAGTGATGGCTGGGACTCTCTCCTGTGGGGACGAGACAGGACAGATATAGTCAGTGAGACTGAGTCAGACTCAGTGTGCATATGCATACCTACCGGGTTTCTCCCTTATTTTACAACTTCTCCTGTGCTTCTCCTGTTGTAGGATTTATGGCAACGCTATCCAAGATGGCTCCCCAAATGGCACCCTATAAACCATAGGGTTCTGGTCAAGAGTAATGGACTATATAGGGAATAGGGTGCCATTTGGGACTCACCCCAAGTTAGCCTGGCTCCAGCGACCCACCTGTATTATCTAGTTCCCAGTCTTCTTCCTCTTTGACTACGATATTAAATGTTGGTGTTTCACTGTTGACGTCTTGACCCTGCGGTGTGTCTTTCTGATCACCACGGTTACTGTCCTCCTGGTGACCATGGTTCCTGTCAGGACTCGGGGACACCGTGGGTTGGGGTTCAGTGGAGCAGGATGGACAGGCTGGACAGGTCTTCAGAGTCCTATGATGAATAGTGACAGTGCAGTTTTAACAACACACTAGCTAGTTACATTATTAAAGGTAGATTTAGCAATAAGACACCATCGTAAATAGCAAGGCAAATGTTTTGCTTGTTATGGAAAAGACAACTTCTCTTTGAAAGAAACCTTTCCAGCTAAATATAACTGGTTTAACAACTATCGGTGTACACATCACTGACAATCTGAAATGGTCCACCCACACAGACAGTGTGGTGAAGAAGGCGCAATAGCCCACACAGGCTGAAGAAATTCGGCTTGGCCCCTAAGACCCTCACAAACTTTTACAGATGCACAATTGAGAGCATCCTGTCGGGCTGTACCACTGCCTGGTACAGCAACTGCACCGCCCGCAACCGCAGGGCTCTCCAGAGGATGGTGCGGTCTGCCCAACGCATCACCGTGGGCACACTGCCTGCTCTCCAGGACACCTACAGCACCCGATGTCACAGGAAGGCCAAAAATATTATCAAGGACATCAACCACCCGAGCCACGGCCTGATCACCCCGCTATCATCCGGAAGGCGAGGTCAGTATAGGTGCATCAAAGCTGGGACCGAGAGACTGACAAACAGCTTCTATCTCAAGGCTATCCGGCTACCACCCGGTTACTCAATCCTGCACATTAGAGGCTGCTGCCCTATATACATAGACATGGATACATAGCCACTTTAATAATGGAACACTAGTCACTTTAATAATGTTTACATACTGCTTTACTCATTTCATATGTATATTCTGTATTCTATTCTACTGTATTTTAGTCAATGCCACTCCAACGTTGCTCGTTCTAATATTTATCCATTTCTTAATTCCATTATTTTACTTTTAGATTTGTGTGTATTGTTAGATACTACTGCACTGTTGGAGCTAGGAACACAATAATTTCGCTACACCCGCAATAACATCTGCTAAATATGTGTATGTGACCAATAATATTTGATTTGATATCAACCAATGTAAACCTAATTACACCAGCTACTGTTCATTGGATTTTCATTCACCTAGCTAGCTGGCCAGTTAACTAGCTACCTTACTAGAAAACAAAATCATATCAGCGAGCTACAACATTCCTAGCTAATACTGATGTTGCTACCATTCACTGTACTCTATAAAATACTGAGCAACTTGATTTGCTAGCTAGCCACAACATTTGGTACAGCAACCACCGAGCAGTTTGCAGAGCAGAAAAGAGATGTGGCTAGCACACGTTGAGATTCTTACCTCGTCCATAGCTACGGGAATGAATCCCTGAGCTAACTACCTAGAAAGCTAGTTTAGTTGTACATTTATTATGCTGACTGGCAGTGTTGTTGGTCGTAACCTCGCGTCTCGTTGGTTGTAGGCTGGGAAATACCAACGCCTGATGCTATTTAATCAAAAGCAACGGTCTTTTATTATTTTTTTCTGCTTAAGTGTTTTGAACGCTGATGTGTTATAAGTGAAGTTTGGTAAACTGTCGAACTCTTGTCTGTCTTCCGACTTCTGGTATGAGGTTGTCGTTTGAGTACGCTTTAGCGCCGCTATGCGGTCTGGAGGATAAAGACAATAGATTACAGGTCTCTTGCAACATAGCAATCTGATCGTTTCTGAAATCAAATGTTTTTATAGATAAAAGGTAATAAAGAGAGAAATACGTTTTCCCCCCCCCCAATGTTAATTTATTGGTCAATGGCATTATGACATGCAAGTCACTGTGGATTTCGTAGTATCATGACAGCTTCAATAAGTAACATAACATACATATATATATATATATATATATAAAAAAACACAAGGACTAAAATGCAAACACTTCATTTTTGTTGATTAAAATATGCACAGGAAGACAACTACAGTTGGTATGATTATTTTACACAACACAGTGGACTTTATTGTACTGATCACAGATGAGGAAGCAACACACACACTGCCACCATCTGGGCTGGAGGGTAAAGACAATAGATGAAGTCTCTTGCGGAAGAACAGTGGCTGTGAAAGAGAGTGGTCTCTTACAATTTAGCCATCTCTGCTTGTAGTCAGTTAATGAAATCAAATGTTATAAGGCATATACAAAGAGCCAAGGTTTGTTTCCACAACGCTCATTTACTGGACCATGGCATTATGACGTCACTCATTTACTGGACCATGGCATTATGACGTCACTCATTTACTGGACCATGGCATTATGACATCACTCATTTACTGGACCATGGCATTATGACATCACTCATTTACTGGACCATGACATTATGACATCACTCATTTACTGGACCATGACATTATGACATCACTCATTTACTGGACCATGACATTATGACATCACTCATTTACTGGACCACAGTGGATTTTGTTGTATCATTACAGCTTCAATTAGTAAAATAAGATTTTTTTTAAACACTAGAAAGGACAAAAATGCAATCGCTTAATTTTAGTTTATAAAATATGTACGGAACTACAACTACAGTTGGCATGATTATCTTGCACAGTGGGCACGATTATTATACTGATCATAAACGAGGAAGCAACAACATGCACGCACACAGACACACACAACGGAAGCAAGAAGAACAGTTCTGTTTAGTCATGAGAGACATGGTGTCCCCAAAATGGCACCCTATTCGGTTTATAGTGCACTACGTTTGTCCAGAACCCAATGAGCCCTGGTTAAAAGTAGTGCACTATATAGGGAATAGAATCCCATTTGGGATGAAGACATAGCCATGGTGTTTAAAGGTGCCAGTACTGCCAGTGTTCCCTCTCCATGTCTGGTAAGGGCATGGGTCTTTCCACTCGATGTAAAGGCATGGGTCTTTCCACTGTATGGAACGGCATGGGTCTCTCTACACTAGGGTATGGAGGCATGGGTTTATCAACCCTGGATAACTGCTGCTTAGAGCTTCCCACCCTGGGAGATTGGTTAGACCTTCTACTACTGGATCCCATGCTGACGGGCCTGCCTAACTGGCGGGTCGGTCCCATGGGCTTGGGAGCATGTGACCGCCGGTGTTGACGGAGCCCTTGTTTCCGGACAAAGGTCTTTCCGCATTCGTCACACTGGTACGGTCTCTCTCCTGTGTGCGTTCTGAGGTGGACTCTGAGGTCGTATTCCCGGGTGTAAGTCTTGCCACATTCAGGGCAGAGATAGTGTTTTTCTCCCCTGGGGGACATGGTGGGTTTCTGTGGTGCCGGGAGGTTGTGGGTTCCCTCCCTCGGCGGTGCCGGGAGGTTGTGGGTTCCCTCCCTCGGCGGTGCCGGGAGGTTGTGGGTTCCCTCCCTCGGCGGTGCCGGGAGGTTGTGGGTTCCCTCCCTCGGCGGTGCCGGTAGGTTGTGGGTTTTTGGTGCCGGTGGGTTATGGGTTCCCTCCTCGTCATGCTGATCCAGACAGCGTTGTGGTCTCCCAGCTTTACGTCTGTTGTCCCGAGGTTGTTCAGAGGAAGTCGCCTCCATGTCGATGTCAGCCAGTAAACTGGGATCCCCTCCTGTATAGACAGACATACAGACGGACAGACACACAGACGGACGGACACACAGACGGATGGACAGACGGACAGACAGTGGGCCCAGGGCGCTGGTCAAAAGTAGTGCACTATAGATGAATCGGGTGCCATTTGGGACTCAAACAATGCAACATGCAACAATGTTATTGTTAAGGTGTGGTTGAGTCTACTAAGACATGGTCTAGATGTTGTAAACAACATGGTTTTGATCACTGACAGTTTGCTAGTAGTCCATCATGATGTATCAATGGTAAAGGAGGACACTCACCTGTGTGCACTTTAAAATGCGTTTTGAGATTCCCTTTCTGGTTGAACCTCATCCCACACACAGAGCACTGGTAAGGTCTCTCTCCTGTGTGTGTTCTCATGTGTCTCTCCAGTTTGTTTGCTTGAGTGAATTCCTTCCCACAGTCCGGACACTTGTGAAACCTCTTTGCTCGCCGTCGTTCCTCTCCCCCAGAACAGTTGAATCGCTGGTGGGTCGTCAGGTATGCTTTACTGAGGAAGCCCTTGCCACACTCAGAGCAGAGGAAAGGCTTCTCTCCTGTGTGTGTTCGCTGGTGGACTTTTAACGTAGTCTTATTGGAGAAGGTCCGTCCGCACACGGAGCACAGGGGCTTCTCCTCGGTGTGTGTTCGCTCGTGGGCTTTCCAAGCCGGTTTTTGATAGTAACCCTTGCCACAGAAAGAGCAAGAGTAAGGCATCTCTCCCGTGTGAGATCGCTGGTGTTCTTTTAACCGTTCTTTTTTACCAAACCCCTTGCCACACACACAGCAGGTGTAAGGCTTGGCTCCAGTGTCTACCTTCAAGTGAACCTCCAGAACACACTTTGAGGAGAATTCTTGTCCACAGCAGCAGGTAATCTTGTCCGCTGAGTCTTTCTTCTGGTGTAATCTCAAGCTACTTTGATAAGTGAAGCCCTTCCCACACTCAGAGCAGAGGTAAGGCTTCTCTCCAGTGTGGATTCTCTGGTGGACCTTCAGTGCTGATAAGGATGGGCAGTGTCTCCCACACTCGGGGCAGGAGTGGGTCTTCCTGACCCCCCATTTCCTCTTCTGTTGTTCAGGTTCTCCTGAAGCAGGACTCTGTCCTTTACTGTCAGAGGGAAGGCTGCTCTTCTCCTTCTCCTCTCCTGTATGTGTCCTGTTCTCTGTCTCCTCTCCTGTGTGTGTCCTCTTCTGGTGTCTCCTTAGTGTGTACAAGGAGACAAACTTCCTCCCACACGCTAGGCAGCTGTGAGTCTTAGTTTTGCCTTTCACTCGTCGTTGTTCAGGTTCTTCTGATTCGGAATGTTCAGGATCTTCGGATTCGGAATGTTCAGGATCTTCGGATTCGGAATGTTCAGGATCTTCCGATGAAGAGGGATTATATTCACTGGCAGATGGTTGGTTGGGACTCTCACCTGTGGGACAGAGACGGGAGGGGGCTGTACTTGTATATCCTGTCCCTAGGCTTGTACATCAAGCTGCCTCCAGTTACAGAAACAGGAGATAGGCTCCTGTCCCTAGGCTTGTACATCAAGCTGCCTCCAGTTAGTCCCTAGGCTTGTACATCAAGCTGCCTCCCGTTAGTCCCTAGGCTTGTACATCAAGCTGCCTCCCGTTAGTCCCTAGGCTTGTACATCAAGCTGCCTCCCGTTACAGAAACAGGAGATAGGCTCCTGTCCCTAGGCTTGCGTAATTACCTACAGTGTGCAGTCTTTCGTTCAACCCAGCACTAACACAAAGACACATTTTCGTTCTCTGTAGCTTAATGGACATTAAAGTACATCTTATTTCAACACACCTGTCCTGAATCATCTAATCACTTACCTCTAACATAACAATCCCAGTCGTCTTCCTCCTCCTTGACGACAACAACTTTTTGTAGAACTATTCGCAGACTACCCAGTTTTGACCTCTGGTCACCATGGTTCTTGTCAGGATCCGGTGATGACGCTGAGTGTTGGGGTTCCGAAGAACTGGGTGGGGACTGTCTGGATGGGTCTTCTGAGTCCTACGATACAAAATAGAGTGTGTGTCAGTGTAGTCTTAACACAGTTATAAGGATCTGGGCCCATATATTCATAAAGCGTTTCAGAGTAGGTGTACTGCTCTACGATCAGGTCCCGCACCCTATCTATATAATATTCATTCGTTATGATCTAAAAGGCTAAAATGCTCCTAGATCGGGCTAACTAGCCTGGAATTCTAGGCTGCTGAAGCCCAACTAATCTGTATCTGTTTTCCGATCTACTATAATTATCTGACAAGTAATTGTGAGTAATAATACTCACGCCACTCCCTTTCTCCCTCCGTTCTGGTGATATGTCTCTCTCTGGAGCTGGGTCTGTCAACCTCTCAGCGCCCTCCTCGTTCTTGGTTCTGCTTGGTTCGGTGCTGTCCAGTGTGTCCACTTGCGCTGACTGGCTGAGGATAGCATCTTCCTGTATTGTTTTGATGTCGTTTTGCAGTTGCAGTAACCAAGACATTCCCTGGTCCTCTAATTTCATTAAATCATCACTTTCGCAATATTCTTCTATTTTACGACGCAACGAGCGATAATTCTTTCCTTTAACTTCGGAGCCATCTTGGCCAGCTATTCCACAACGTTCACACAGGTAACGTAAATTGTTCTCGGTTAAATTCCACAAACTCTGTTCGATTCCATCCAACAACGTTTCCCTCTCTCCACTCATATTGTCCTACCCACGTGCCAACAAAAATGTAGTCAATGGCAAGACAGCTAAAATCCGTAAAAGAGAATGTTAATTAGTTAGTACAATATTTTGAAGTGAAGTAGCTAGCTAGCTAAATAATAAACATGCTAGCTAGCTAGCTTCTCGTCGACTACTTCCTACTTATTCTTCTTCTTCTTCAATGAGGTTTAACGGCGGTTGGCATCCGATTTGTTACATTACCGCCACCTACTAGACTGGAGTACAACTACCTTATATTTTCCTTGAAAAATAATTAACCCCACCCTTCTCCACTATTTAAATACACTCACTCCTACCTCATGCACTCAACCTGAAATGATGGGACATCACCACTTAACACTCCCTGTAACTCTTCTGATGTCAAGTCTCGCACACCCAAATACTTCTCTGCAGCTGCCACCACAACCTCAATTTTCTTAGACTTACGTCGAATTACAATTAATAACCATTGCTATAAACGCTAAAAATCCAATCTTATTGAAACATTTATCACTTGTTGGCCTATCCCTCTAAACAGGTACATATCTCCTACTCTCACCACTCCCCCCCTTAACCCCTCTTCCTCTACTTTCTTCACTGCCTCAGCATATGACAACTTCTTCACTACTCAGCGCGGCGGTGGCACAGGAATCCTCATCTCTCTCAAGTGGACATTCTCTCTTTTTCCCCTGACCCATCTGTCTATCTCCTCATTTGAATTCCATGCTGTCACAGTCACTAGCCCATTCAAGCTTAACATCCTTGTCATTTATCGCCCTCCAGGTTCCCTTGGAGAGTTCATCAATGAGCTTGACGCCTTGATAAGTTCCTTTCCTGAGGATGGCTCACCCCTCACAGTTCTGGGTGACCTCCCTACGTCTGCCTTTGACTCATTTCTCTCTGCCTCCTTCTTTCCACTCCTTTCCACTCCTTTCCTCTTTTGACCTCACCCTCTCACCGTCCCCCCCTACTCACAAGGCAGGCAATACGCTTGACCTCATCTTTACTAGATGCTGTTGTGAGGTTCTATTTTCTAATAATTGGATTGAAGTGATGAATAGCTTAGAAGGAATGCATTAATGAGGAGCATAGGTTTGAACTATACTGATATAAATTGTTTCACATAACAGGCTGTGATTCATGTGAGGAACGTTAGGGGCTAGGATGAGATAAAACTTGTATTTCTTATAGATAAGACTTGTATTTCTCACAGATACGAACACTGCTTCTTTGTGATCTGTGAACCTTCCAAGGACATGGGTACTGCAAAAAAAAGTGCTAACTCCACAGGTTGTTATGATAAACTTATGCCTGGCAACAGTGTGCAACAAATGGAGCGCCGAGGGGTTGGGACCAACCCGTGCGCCAACGGATTGGCTGAGTAAGTCTAAACCACACTCAGTCTACTCTGATTGGTCAGCAGAGAGGTGGGAACTCTCTCTCTCTGTCAGAGTATTTGAAGAAGAACCTGTAACAATGGATTCAGTTCTCTGAGTGCCCTGCGAGGTATTTCAGTGGACCCGTATCTACGAACCTTCATACTTTTCATACATACATTTTGCATATAATAAATTTAGCTTGGATTGAAGATCTCTTGATTCTTATTCCAATACCAGATTTGAATTACGCAATTTCTAACACTGTTCTTCTACTAATCTCACTGCAACTCCCCTACAAGTCTCCGACCACTACTTTGTATCCTTTTCTCTCTCGCTCTCCTCCAACACTACTCACTCTGCCCCTACTCAGATGGTAATGTGCCATCGCAACCTTCGCTCTCTCTCTCCCGCTACTCTCTCCTCTTCCATCCTATCATCTCTTCCCTCTGCTAAATCCTTCTCCCTCCGATCTCCTGATTCTGCCTCCTCAACCCTCCTCTCCTCCCTTTCTGCATATTTTGACTCTCTCTGTCCCCTATCCTCCCGGCCGGCTCGGTCCTCCCCTCCTCCTCCGTGGCTTGACGACTCATTGCGAGCTCACAGAAGAGGGCTCCGGGCAGCCGAGCGGAAATGGAGGAAAATTAGACTCCCTGCGGACCTGTCATCTTTTCACTCCTTCCTCTCTACATTCTCTTCCTCTGTTTCCGCTGCTAAAGCCACTTTCTACCACTCTAAATTTCAAGCCTCTGCCTCTAACCCTAGGAAGCTCTTTGCCACCTTCTCCTCTCTGCTGAATCCTCCTCCTCCTCCCTCCTCCCTCTCTGTGGATGACTTCGTCAACCATTTTGAAAAGAAGGTTGACGACATCCGATCCTCATTTATTAAGTTAAATGACACCGCTGGTCCTGCTCACACTGCCCTACCCTATGCTTTGACTTCTTTCTCCCCTCTCTCTCCAGATGAAATCTTGCGACTTGTGACGGCCGGCCGCCCAACAACCTGCCTGCTTGACCCTATCCCCTCCTCTCTTCTCCAGACCATTTCCGGAGACCTTCTCCCTTACCTCACCTCGCTCATCAACTCATCCTTGACCGCTGGCCATGTCCCTCCCGTCTTCAAGAGAGCGAGAGTTGCACCCCTCCTCAAAAAACCTACACTCGATCCCTCCGATGTCAACAACTACAGACCAGTATCCCTTCTTTATTTTTTCTCCAAAACTCTTGAGCGTGCCGTCTCTAGCCAACTCTCCTGCTATCTCTCTCAGAATTACCTCTTGATCCAAACCAGTCAGGTTTCAAGACTGGTCATTCAACTGAGACTGCTCTTCTCTGTGTCACGGAGGCTCTCTGCACTGCTAAAGCTAACTATCTCTCCTCTGCTCTTATCCTTCTAGACCTATCTGCTACCTTTGATACTGTGAACCATCAGATCCTCCTCTCCACCCTCTCCGAGTTGGGCATCTCCGGCGCTGCTCACTCTTGGATTGCGTCCTACCTGACAGGTCGCTCCTACCAGGTGGCGTGGCGAGAATCTGTCTCCGCACCACGTGCTCTCACCACTGGTGTCCCCCAGGGCTCAGTTCTAGGCCCTCTCCTATTCTCTCTATACACCAAGTCACTTGGCTCTGTCATATCTTCACATGGTCTCTCCTATCATTGCTACGCAGACGACACACAATTAATTTTCTCCTTTCCCCCTTCTGATAACCAGGTGGCGAATCGCATATCTGCATGTCTGGCAGACATATCAGTGTGGATGTCGGATCACCACCTCAAGCTGAACCTCGGCAAGACGGAGCTGCTCTTCCTCCCGGGGAAGGACTGCCCGCTCCATGATCTTGCCATCACGGTTGACAACTCCATTGTGTCCTGCAGGTTCATGCTCTACAACATTCGCAGAGTACGACCCTACCTTACACAGAAAGCGGCACAGGTCCTAATCCAGGCACTTGTCATCTCCCATCTGGATTACTGCAACTCGCTGTTGGCTGGGCTCCCTGCCTGTGCCATTAAACCCCTACAACTCATCCAGAACGCTGCAGCCCGTCTGGTGTTCAACCTTCCCAAGTTCTCTCATGTCACCCCGCTCCTCCGCACACTCCACTGGCTTCCAGTTGAGGCTCGCATCTACTACAAGACCATGGTGCTTGCCTACGGAGCTGTGAGGGGAACGGCACCTCCTTACCTTCAATCTCTGATCAGACCCTACACCCAAACGAGGGCACTACGTTCATCCACCTCTGGCCTGCTAGCTCCCCTACCTCTACGGAAGCACGGTTCCCGCTCAGCCCAGTCAAAGCTATTTGCTGCTCTGGCACCCCAATGGTGGAACAAGCTCCCCCACGACGCCAGGACAGCGGAGTCACTGACCACCTTCCGGAGACACTTGAAACCCTACCTCTTTAAGGAATACCTGGAATAGTATAAAGTAATCCTTCTTCCCCCACCCCCCATATTTTTTTTTTTTTTTTTAAGGTGGTTGTCCCACTGGCTATCATAAGTTGAATGCACCAATTTGTAAGTCGCTCTGGATAAGAGCGTCTGCTAAATGATGTAAATGTAAATGTACTCTTACCCTGGAAACCTCAACCTGTTTCTCTCGCACGGGACATTTCTGATTCCCAGCCCCATGGCCACCCCTACAATTAACACATACCACTACTTTCCCCAATGCTACACATTCCTTTGTCTCATGTCCTTCTGCACACTTCTCACCGACCACTTCCTATTTTCTTCTTACCCTTTTCTTCTACTGTAGTGGGGGGGGGGGGGGGGGGTTGTTTTGTTTTTTGTAATGTTTGCAAACCAACTGAAAATGTGCATTACCGCCACCTACTGTACCGAGGTGTGAAGACAAACCAGAAGTAAAACTGGAAAATTTCCGAATAGGTACTGAATGTTTTTTTGAATAGACAAGAGCAGAAAAGCGAGTTGTTGCAACGATCACCTTTACGCAGAAGGTCACACTGACTGTCATCACATGATGTAGGTATGCTACCGCTGCCAGTCATCAGGTTTCTTAGCACCATCAGGGAGCTTCAATAAAGTAAAGATAATGTGCTGTGTAGTCCCGTGTAGCTCAGTTGGTAGAGCATGGCGTTTGCAACGCCAGGGTTGTGGGTTCATTTCCCACGGGGGGCCAGTATGAAAAAAACACACAAAAAACATGTATGCACTCACTAACTGTAAGTCGCTCTGGATAAGAGTGTCTGCTAAATGACTAAAATGTGTAGTGTCAATTAATTAAACATAAATATCTGCAATAGCTAATGATATCATGAACCTAATAATTTCATAATCAATGGCTTTGATCAGGTCCTTCAAATAGAGTCAGAGCAGGAGTGATGCTTGTGTTCTCTGTGTGGTGACGGCCTTTAGCTGTGTGATTCTCCTTCATGTTTGAAAAGCAAAAGGAAAAATTATAACCACAAATGTGTGCTGGGTGGTATAAAAAATCCAAGTCCAGGCACTGGTGTGGGTTTGAAAGTTAAAAATACTTTATTGTGTGGGCTGTCATTATTAAAATACAATGATTTAATGTTTCTTTAAAATCACCATTTGTCCTCCACTTACTAAGGTCAACAGCCTCCCAGTCCACTTCTTCTACTGGGGATAAATTGAA